CTTCCGATCATTGCCGCCACCTCCGCCTCCGCCTCCTCCTTGCAGAAATGCCGGGCTGCAAGAGTGATCGCCGCAGTGGCGCAGGAGGAAGTGGTGGTGACCGCCGAGGAGGAGGAGGAAGTAGAATCAGCGGGTGATGATCAGGTTGTTCCTTCCAATACAAAGCTTTACTTTGGGAATATGCCTTACAGTGTGGATAGTGCTCAGCTTGCTGGCATAATTCAGGACTATGGAAGTCCAGAGCTAATTGAGGTTTTGTTTTTTTCAATAGTTTTGAACAGTATTACTAACTAGTTTAGGGATGTTTTGGTTCAGATGAACTAAAATTGGAAGCTTTTACTTTACATCTTCAGTCTAGTTGATCCAGGAAAAAAAGAAAAGAAGAAAAAAAAGACGAGCATGTATAGACCAATAAATAGTTCAAGTAGAGACAGATTATTGGGATGTCTAATTTCGGTCTAATTTTGATGTTCTAAATAGTGCTTCCGTTAAATGACATAACATATAACATATAATTGGTTAGACACCATTTGAAACATTAAAAATTGCAGTTGAGATCTTCAGAATTCGATTGCTCAGTACATTATTAAATCTTATGTGATTGCTCAGTAGATTTGTTGAATGCCTGGAGCCTAATTATTTTCATGACACGAGCTAGCATGCGGATCGAGTTGAAATATTAGGGCGAGAAATTCTAAGCAGTGTTGTTAGAAACATTTTCCTTCTGGTTTTCCTTAACTGTAAGTGCCACTAATTGTGGTAAATGGTTTTTAGGTACTGTATGACAGGGACACTGGAAGAAGCAGAGGATTTGCATTTGTAACAATGAGTAGCATTGAAGATTGCAATTCAGTTATAGAAAATCTTGATGGAAGTGTAAGAAACTCTCTCGTTCTCTCAATGTGAATGTGCTAATTAGGACATAGAAAAAGTTCCATGTTCACATGATGAATCTTCCCTAGTACTAAACGTGTTCTTTCCTAGCTTTGCAGCAATACATGGGCCGAATCTTGAGGGTGAACTTCGCGGACAAACCGAAACCGAAAGAACCTCTATACCCCGAAACCGAACACAAGCTCTTTGTTGGCAATCTGTCATGGTCAGTGACATCTGAGAGCTTGACACAAGCGTTTCAAGAATACGGAAATGTGGTTGGAGCAAGAGTGTTGTTTGATGGTGAGACAGGAAAGTCACGTGGTTATGGCTTTGTATGCTATTCCACAAAAGCAGAGATGGAAACTGCCTTGGAATCTCTCAACGGAATGGTATATTCAGATGTTTGATAAATCTAGTTATCAAAATATCTCAACACATCTTGTAATTTTTTTTTTTCTTTTTTTTTTTTTTTTTTTGCTGAATAGATAGATACACATATTTAGAAGGCTTTTTTTTTTTTTTTTTTTTGCTGAATAGATAGATACACATATTTAGAAGGGTTGAGCACCTCTATTTATCCTCAGTGGTTCTAACTCCATGCAGATGTGTCAAATTATCATGGGTTAAAACGCTTGTTTTGAACTTATTTTATAAAAATTGGGACCAACGGACTGGGGTAGAACCAGAAATATAATTCAGGGGCGGGAGCGTATATAATGAGGTAGGGAAACATAGAAATTTAAAATTACTAGGGACAAACTACAAATTCCATCAGATTTCGCCTAAATTTCTAGGTGCAACGGCCACCCTACGTTAGGCTTTAACTGGTTCCGTCCTTGCCTATAGACAGATGTCAACTTAAGAGGAGTAGGTTTCGAGTAACGATCGGCTAATTATATAGCATCTTCCATCAAGATATTTGTGTGGTACTCAACTTACTCTTGTTTTCTTTACATTTTGCAGGAACTAGAAGGAAGGGCAATGAGAGTAAGTTTGGCTGAAGGAAAACGTTCATGAAACTCAAAATCATAGAATCTAAAATGGGTTTCCAATCAAGGGCAAGAAAAAGGGAGTTATGTCATATGTGAGTAATGTGGCCACATAAAAAGCAACCACATGAGAAGCAATTTGGAAATAATTCATATACCCTTTTCATTTCTTCTTGTGTATAACTCATTTTTCACTTCTGTATATTCTCTTAGCAGAAGTTACAAGCAGAAAACGGTTTTCTTTCTTCAAAGTTTGAGGACTTCGGTGGCTTATATACTTTCATATTGATATGCAATATACTCTACTGCTTTTGGAAGTTCTTGTAATCAAGCTCGCTAACATTTCTTAATAGAGCATTGGATTGATCCTTGACCAATTTAGACCAAATCCAATTACCAAAAAACAAAAACAAAAAAACAAAAAAAGTCATTTTTAGTGCCTTTCCATATTTTCTTCATATTTGTTGACCAATATTTAACTGGTGTTTTCCTTTTCTTCTACCTTCTTTTTCTTTAACCGAATATTCCTTTTGTTCCTTTTTTTTTTCCTCCTCACATTTATACACAAACTTTCATCCCAAAAAGATTGAAATATTCAGCGTTGATGAAAGTGGTATCATTAACCCTTAAATAAAGAATACGGTACGTTTCGGGGGGGAAAAAAGTTGTTACTTGTTAACAATATTATTAGCAGATGCTAACAATTTGAAGTTTTTAGTGTTGACAACGTTATTGATTATCACATACTTTTAAATAGTTATTTTGTCATTGGAATGAATAATAGCTTTTTTTTTTTAATCAAGAATTCTTTCACAATCGCTTAACTGACTTTAGTTGATCAAACTGCTTACAGACTCTCGTTCAAATTTAAAGCTTATTGCTTAATTTACTTTAGTAAAAATGAATCCTAATCCTATTTTAATGATAGTAATGGTCTTTAATGAGCCATAGCTAGTACACAATTGATCATCAATTGTTATAAACATTGTTTGGTTAATGAGACAAGAGTCATGACATACGATTATGATAAGTAACCTTAATCCCATGTTTTGTCCAACAATAATTAAAAAAATCAAGTGGTTGTAAGCATATGGCACTTCCACATGACTTCACCATAAAATGTGGAGTTCAAATTCTAATTCCAAATTCAAAAAATAAAAATAAAATAAAAATAAAATAATCCCCTCTTTATTAGATTACACGTCCAAGAAAATAATCCAATGATCTCGCCTCCAACTTTAAAATGTTTTTAAGCTTTTTATGTCCAAAATAAATTAAAAGTTTTAAATTTAGAAGGTTTTAACATTTTTACATTAATTTAGTGTTACTTTTAAGTTATATAAAAATTAATACAAACTAATCTAAAACTACACCAAATGAAATTCATTTTAATCCAATTCAGTGCTGTGTAATAATTCTATACAATACTTTTACATTACTAGTCAATTCATTTAAAAATAACGGTTAGACAAAATATTTTTTCAAAAAAAAAAAGAAAGAAAAAAAGGACATAAATAAAAGGAATGAAGACAAATTCGGGAAAAGATCCGCAGTAAAAGACAGAAAAAAGTTTCTAACTTATTTGTTGTGTTTTAAATTAGCTCTACTTATTTGTTGTATGTTAAATTAGCTCTATTTATTTTGTTTAATTTTGTATTTAATTTAGCATGATTTTATTTTATTTTAATGCATTTTTGTTTAATTTCATTATTTATTTGAATTGCGTATAGTATTTTTATATGAGTAGTATCGAAAAAAGGAGAAAGAAGTAAAAACAAAAGGACACAAAAGAAATAGAAACAAAAACGGCAAAAAGATTTGAAGCAAAGACAGGAAAAAAAAAAGATTCTAACTTAGGGCTTGTTTAGTTCGATAATTCGAGTTTTTAATTCGAGTTGAGATATGACTTTATGTGAGAGCTTTTTATTGTAGCAAAAAAGTTAGATGTGACTGTTTCTAAAAATTTTTTACTATAACAAAACTCGAATCGGTGAAATGATTTGGGCCTTATTTTGTTGTGTTTTAAATTAGTTATATTTTATTTTATTTTTTTATTTAATTTAGTGTGATTTTATTTTATTTTAGTTCAACGGATTTTTGTTTAATTTTTTCATTCTAATTATTTACAATATTTTCATCTTAGTAGTATCAGAAATTTGGTGCAAAATAAGGGTAAAATTGACAATGAGTCATTTATTGTATTTTTATTTAAGTGGCATCAAAAAAGGAGAAAAAAGTTGAGTCTTATCTAGTGCTGGAACTTCGGGTCGGCGGGCCGCCCGAAGCCTGAATTTTTTCGGGCTCGGGCGGGCCGGCCCAATTCCCGCCCGTCCAAGCAAGAAATTCGGGTTCGGGCTCGGGCAGCCCGGATTTGACATGTCCACCCTTGCCCGCCGCCGTCTAACCACCGTATACCGCCGTCCGCCGGGATTTTTTTGCATTTTTCCGACCAAGCCC